AATATTTCTCATAATTCATATTTTTTTGTCCTACATTTTCTGGCATAGTAATCTACCAACTGAAATAGCTAAACTTTAACGAAAAACTAGGAATATTTCATGAAAGTCTCTTGCAATGTAAAAGAAAGCTAGAGTTAATGTAAAAGGACGATACAAATGTCGTCAGCAATCTTGCCAAACGCCACTCCTTCTAGGTCGAGGAGAAAATAAACTCTTTGATGGTCATATTTGTAGTTTATTTACATAACTTTACAACTTATGTGTAGTCACAAGAAGACAAGTTTTCATCAAGAAGGTTCTTGCCTTATTCAAACGGGAGTAAGTTAAACGAGTAATTTGTCTGAAAGATTGAGTTTCATCCTAATACACAGTAGGATTGATTTAAAAGTAAATAACAATTGGCTGGCCATCTTAGTCTGGTCCCTAGCTGTAGTCAAGACATTCTTTTATAGACAGTCACTATATGAAAGGTACCAGACCATTTTTGGACATTGTGGTGTGCTGGGCATTGTAACCATGAGCTAACTTTTTGAAGGAAAAAGAGTGTTAAGTTGAAGTAAGATACAAACACATCTTCAAACTAACTGTATTAGTTCCAAGGGCAAGACTACACCACAACATACAGAACTGTAAACTGTACATGTATTTTATTTGAGTGCAAAACCCATACTTAGGCTGTGTCCAAAACATTCTTTCAGAGCTACGACTACGTCTATTGTCCGCTTGTCCCAACATACTTGTAATGGGCCAAGACCTGGACATTTACCTCCAGACAAGAGTTATGGACACGCCTTACACCAAAACAGTTTATTTTTGACTCAATGTGTATGAAATCAAACAACTGACCTCAAAAAAATAGTTTTCTGAAATAAGTACAATGAACTTGGTGGGATTTATCAATTAAAACAAAAATTAGCTCACAGTTTTCTGAACATCATACATCAATGTATCCGTTAATTTTACAGAATATAAGAATACATCTCATGAGTATAATTATGACGTATACAAGAAACGGAGGACCGTGTTAAGTTTGTGAAGCGTGCACAGTAACAGCACCTAGAATCGGTTACATATTTCAGTTTGCACTACAGTGGGACGAAATTGTCTGATACAAAATTTGAATGTCAAAACTTGGATGCTTTTAATACGAAAATTTTGGAATGTGCGTTTTCAAAAAAAAAGTACCACATAATTTTGTCCCAAAAATTCAAAATAGACATATTCTGGAAATGATTGTGAACTTACAATAATTATAATCTGTGGCCTTTTCTGTTCATATTGGGATATTTAAGTGAATTTATATTTTGTCAGTTATTATTCAACCACAAATATAATTCAGATAAGGAATTTTTACCGCATGCTGTAACACTGTTTGAATATTCATATTAGGATTTTTCAAAAATATTTTCAGTGAAAATAGACGCTTTGTATTTGTGCAATTGAATTTGATAACATTTTTATTCAATACAGCCACATTAATTCAGAATATATAAGAATTCACTTGTTTATAGAAAGAGAAATTGATTCGCTAGCATCAGTAGGTTTCATAATTTCCCCAGAATCCAATAATTTGAAGTGATTTTTTTGTCATTCTTGCTTAATATTATTAGAATTGCGAACACATCAAAAGTACAGTTCACGAATACATGCATTTTTAATTAAGTCTGTCTGGAGCATACAAAAATGTGAGTCGTTCTGGCAAAATGAGACGGAACTGGGCACAGGCTGTAGTGGAGAAAAATGCAAAAAAAATTGATTGGGGATGATTTTTTTTTTTTTTTTACATTTTCAGATTTATTGATATTTGTAATCTTTGATATGTCTACTACACATCTTTTAAAAACCGAGTATAAAAATTGTGGAATAGAAGTGTTTTTAAGGAAAAACAATTGGCATCTTTCATTTTCAGGAGTACAAAACTTGAAACTTCACGGACCTTTTTCTCAGTATTATACTTTCTTGACATGGCGATGAATGCTAACTTTGAACAGCCATAACTTGTCAATGGAGTATTCGATTGAAGTGCAACAAACGGTATTGTAAGAATTTTATTCTCTTTCCTAATACCTGCAAACCCTAAATTTGACCTCTGCCCAGTTCTGTCTCATTTTGCCAAACGCCTTACAAATATGGTTCCCAACAGCAAGACCATGTCCTGGCATATAAAGATAATCATATTTTTGGAGAAATTTAACAGATAAGAAATTTCATGAAACCAAAAAATGATCAGGAAAAAAACCCAGCTAAACATGCCACAGGAAATTTAAGTACATCGATAATACATTTTTGAAGAATTTGCGTTTTGGCACATGATTTGTTCCACTCTGGTTACAGAGTTGATCTGCTACTATAAAAAAAAAAATCACAATATAAAGCTATTAATGAGTTGAGAAATTGGTCAAATTAATTCTTGAAATTATAAGTCACAGATTTCTTTCCATTCATCCTCGAAACATAAAGGTAGTACTGTACTGAGTTGCTTTGCCAAAAAGGAGGCCTGGCCATTAACGTTGTAAACATCTCTTAACAAACAATTAACTATAACAAATATTTCAAAATCAGTGAATGTTGCTCTGAGTTGACAGTCCAATGGTAGCTATCATTGTTCCTTTTTTAATTCAAATACAAGAAAGAAATCAAACGATGAAGTGTTGGGAAGATTTAATTTTAAAAAAAAAATCAAAAAAAAAAAAAAAAAATTTGCTGTGCCCAAGATTATACCCTTAACAACTAAAATTTGAGTATATACAACTGAATAAGAGATGGATTGGGTGAAATAAAAAGGGAAAAAACAACACAAGCTTCAAGAATTTGTTTGAAAGTTTGTCTAATTCACAGCATATGGATTAAGTTTGGTGGGATGATTTTTTTTTTTTAAATAAAAAGAAAACAAGACGACAAATTATATATTAAACAAAATTGAGGGAAAAACATTCTCTGTAAAAAATAAAGCAAATAGTTGGTATATTTCTAAAAATTCTCGCAGCATATATGGAATGACCAAAACAAAGGTTGCAGTTTGGATTTTAAAAAAAATCAAAATGACGCTTTTAGTAAATCTTAAAAATAAAACTTGTCCGATGCGGTTGGCAGTATGCCCAAAGGCACGAATACACACTGCATACCCTGCCTGGTATTGAATTAAAGAAAAGCAAAATAACTTGACGATAAACTAAAAAAACACAAAAGTTGCTTCAAAATATTCCAGTTGTTTAGGTTGGCATAATAATTTAAACCTAAAAATAAAGACCGTTTAAATATTTAAAACAAATGAAACGAAATACAGGTATGCAAGACCGTTGCAAAAGACATTGTTGCTTGTCTTTGATAAAGCTTTGCTAACAGTTTAAGATACCTCGACTTTGTAAGGTACTAAACTGTATATAAAAAGTAATGCTTTTTTTAATACTGCATTTTTCTTGAACTTATTCCTTTTTTGGATGTGTTTGATGGATTTTTGAATGATTCGTGTGGCGCTGGTTTCTGTTTGATAATAATCACTGAAACCACGGAAACGCCCAGTGCATTCAAAACTTTCTTGAAACAGCGAAAAATTTGAACAAAACAAAAAATGTAAACAACCAAAAACCTACAGAACTGTCAATCATAAATTATGGAAAAATTCAAGTTTTTTTTGTCACGGACGACAAAATATCTCTCTCACTCTCACACAAAACAAATGCAGACAGATCTGCCGTAAATGTAACAATACGACACGCTGTCATTTTTACATTAACATGGTAGAAAAAACCTGCACTGTGCACAGAAGTATATACACTTAAGTTACTTTTTACATCACACTAAAAAAAAAAGTCTGAATAAAAAGAGAAAATCTCTTTTTTATTTTATTTTCCACCCTCTCACTCTCTAAATAGTTAGGTAATGCTGAGAAAAACAGTTCTTTTATCCTTTCTTTGGCCTGGCTGGTACAAGAAGTATTCACTTATATTATCACTTTATTTAGAATAATTACAATTACGTTAATTCCGGCGATCTTCCCCAAGTACGATGGATGTTCTCGACAAATCTAGTCCCTGAAGAAATTCATCTTAGAACTGTCACAAAAAAAGAACACTCGATGGCTTATCAAGCCTCGCCAAGTTGTACGACCGATACAAACCTTGAATACAATTGTACCGTACACACACTTTTCTTCAATTTTTACAAGCTCTAGTTTCCATTTTCTTCTTTTTGGGACGGAATTTCCTGAACGAGCATCCCTGGGGAAAAGCCTCTCTACATTTGAATTGTCGTCATATTATTTTCTTCGCATTTTAAATCAACATACTTCGTCTATTTCTGCCTACCCTGTACATTTGGCAATACGTTATTTTACTTTTTTTACAAAAAAACTAAATATTTCAAGTAATGGCAAATCTGTGCCATTGATATGGCTCCAATGTAGTCACGACAAATCTGTACTTATATTTGATTCCCAATGCCACTGGATCAAACTTCCAACGACAATGGATGAAATCAACAGAATACCCACAAAATCTTTAAAACTCTTAAAGGTACAGTCCATCATTTGCAGCTATCCAAAAGTTACTGATGTAATTATTGTTGAAAAGCATACTTGGTTGAAAGATAGTAATGGGACTAAACTCCCTGTGAAATTATTCTTTCTAGCAAGCTGTTACTTTGAAGAAATCAATGAAAGAAAGCCTTTTCAACGTAAAGACGCATCATTGGAAATTTCTGTTAGTAGTTCGGTTTTTTATGTGGTGAAGAGCACGCAAGCATTGACAAGACGCACTCGCGCGCGCGGTTGCTATAATTTGTTGGTTCAGTGCGCGACCTCGTGTAGCTGCAATCGGCTCAGTGAGAATGTTTCTCGGACGCTGAATTCAGGCCCAATTCAAAACCTGACTCAGCAACTTTTTATTTGAAAATTGAGATCCTAGAATAATGTTTCTCGGAATATACAGCATTTACTGAGCTGAAACTTCATCAGGTTAGTTGTTCAGCACTCTTCTTTAGATTTTGAGTACTTTCGTTGTTTCAAACGAACATAATGCACAAATTACAAATGATGGACGCTACCTTTAGCTATATGGCATTATGAGATCACACGATGTCTACCTCACATGCAATTGTGTTGGATCTGTGAACATCTGTGTTGTGTTGTCATTAATATATGCACGGGGAAAAAAAAAATCAAATTTCTGAATCACAAATAAAATTAGGCTTGTTTCCTCGCAACAAGAGACATAAACTATTTACTGACTGGCTAATCAATAAAGGAAAGCTTAAAAAAATTACTGCAATTCAATCATAAAAAGAATCAAATAAAAAAAATTACTGCTAGCTCTAAATAATTATTCTGATTGTAAAAAGGCAATGCAATTTTCTATGCAAAGAAATTAAATTTTTATTAAAGATTGTGCTTAGGTGAAGCATATAAACTAATTTCGTATGTACAGTTGAGCAATAATACAATTAAGCAATAATTTATAAAGAATATCACATTCGTTGATTCCCAAATAAACCTCATCTATTCCGCAATAATCGACCCAATATATTGATTCTGGATCTTTATCTTGATTAATCGTGAACATACACTAAAGGTGGATTAGCGATCAATTCCCAAATTGGTAATTGACCATTGAATACATTCATTACTTGATTACAATAATAATATGCCTCCTGAAGCTTCAGGGGGCAAATTCTTAGAGTAAGGTGGGCTTCATCCAGCTGACAGTCATAAATTTGATCGGTGGTTTTTCAATCTGGGTGGGTTGAGAAATGCTCAATGTGGCTTGGATAGTTTATTCAGTAATAAAATTCCATGTGAATATTTGTTCACATATCAGAACATCTATACTTGACATTACTGACGACAAAATAGAGATATGATACTGTTGTTGGCTATGTACACATGAATACGACCGAATGGTTTTAAAGATTTGTAAGGATATCATGGTTTCAATTCCTCTCTTGTAAATACCTTGTTAAACCGGCGTGGCAGTGTGCACAGGAGCATGGTGAGTTGAATGCAGTGATCTCCGTGCCCCGTCCCCTCTACGGGGCTCATCATCTGACAGTGCCATCATGAGGGAGTAAGCTTGGAGTTTGGAATGGCGACTGAGGTTGGCCCTTCCCTCCCTCAGAATGTCGACATCTGGCAGCTCAGACTCATCATGGGCATTGCTGAACATCGACGCTGGTTTTGGGAGGCCGAAGTTGACCGGGGCGGCATCTGAAGCGCCTTCTTCCATGCGGGGATCTTCTTCAGAGGTGATGCTGGGAGACTTGGTGACCTCTTCTCCATCACTCAGGTCTTCGCTCTCATTCATGCTGTCAGACATGTCCTCCTCCTGAGGAAAGGTGGGCTCTCTGGCGATGGAGGATGGATTAGCGATGTCTTCTCTCTTCTCAGGGTTGATCATTGTCTCTTCTTCCTCCTGAGCTTCCTCTGCTTCTTCAGGATCTTCCTTATCAATGTCTTTCATCTCCTTGTCTTCCTGATCACTTTCTTCTGCATCCTCTGGTGTGTCTTTGTCATCTTCCATCTTCTCTGGCCTAGGTTCTTCCTCCTTCACCTCAGTTGACGAGCTGCAGACGGATGGACTCTGGACCTGTTTGGAAGCCATAACTGCTGCAGTGGCTTCCATCTCCATCAACTTCCGCCTCAAGGCCTCTTTCTCCTTGGCATCATCAATGAAGTTCTTGATCTCATCGAAATAGGACTCATCCTTCTCGTTCAGATCACTGGGCTCCTTGAAGGACTTGGTCTTGGCCATCAGACGGGCAGCTACGATGACGTTGTGTTCAGACGCTGTAGACAGTGCTATCTCCTCAGCTCGCTCATTCTCATGTTTCTTCAGATGCCGGTCCAGGTTGGTCTGCTGCCCAAAGCAGCGCTCGCAGAGTGGGCACTTGAAGGGCTTCTCCTTGTTGTGGATGTTGCGGACATGGCGCTGAAGGTTGGAGGAGATGCTGAAAGATCGGTCGCAGTATTTGCAGGAGTATGGTTGCTCCCCTGTATGGGTTCGGAGATGACGCGTCAGATTGGCTGAGCGGGGGAAGAGCTTCCCGCAATACTTACAGGTATAACGATCCTTGCTCCTCATAATCATCTTCTCCCCACTGCTTGGATACAGCACGCTACCGGGGTAGGTACGGTGGGGTGGACTGAGGCCTGACTTGCCCAGGCTCTTCTCTGCATGGTATTGATCAAATTTACGAAAGTTCTGAAAGGCGGCATTGGGAAAGAGGTGGCTATAATCCATGCGCATGAACTTGTTGGGGAGCATGTCCCCGTTTACCCTATAGATTGGATCTGGCATGACGAGGGGCACTGGTTTTGCATAGAGGTCTGCTGAGCCTTTGGAGGGCTCTGTTGAGGTCTTGTCATGGCTGCAGTGGTGATTTGGGGGACTGTGGGACTCTGACTTTTTGATTGGCGTGTCTGTGATGGATGACACCCGTTTGCGTCTGGGAAGGCTTAGATCCAAAGGCTCTTCTCCTGTTGCATGGGGAGTGGAACGCTGCTGGAGAATTCCCAGCCTCCTCTTGGAGAGGTCAAAAGGTGACTCTTGCTGGATGCCGATTATGCCAGATCCATAGCGAGCATCTCGATGAAGGCTGTTGTCCACACCGTGACCATTGCTCCTCATTTCAGACTTCAACAAGCCATTATCGTGATGAGCCCCGCCAAAATATTTCTCGGCAATGGAAGCAATGGCTTTCATTGGCTCACTGGCTGTTACCCTAGTCTCCAACCTTCTATCATTCCTTACAGCTTGATGTGTCAGGTGCTCGGGTTCATTCCTGTTGCTGCTGTGCCGGTGGGCTACTTTCCGATGGGCTTTGTTTTCTGCATTCCCTTCGCTGTCTGAATCTAGGTCACTGCCAGAGGTAGAATCCAGGTCACTGCCTGTTGGGGTGCTTACGTTGGACACATCGCTGCCATCACTGACTTCACTCTCTGTTTTCTCATTGGCCTCTCTCTTGATCTTAGCTGTATATCCGTCGGCAGGCTGGAACCCACGCTTGCTTGGACTGACAGAAGAAGTGTAATGCTTCAACCAGTCTTCGGTAGAGTTGATGGATCCATTTGGACTCGTTCCCCGGCTTCCATTCTTTGAGGTATGGTTCTGCTTGTTAAAATTGCCTGGCAGGAGAGGTGACTGGGTTGGCATTGGTGGATAACCCATGAAGTAGGGATGGCTAGGGAGGGGGGTCTTATCAGAACCTGGGTATCCAAGGAGGTTATTTTGTAAGAGGGCCTGCTGGGTCAGGTGTAAATTGGCATTCCAGAGGTGGGCCAGGTTGGCTGGGTGTAGGGGGTTGTTTGCTCCAAGCATACCAACCCCCATAAGGGTAGGGTTAGGAGTCATCACAGGACAACTCCCATTACGCACCACAGGTGGCACACTGGTGGTCTGGGTGGTGGGTATCTGGCTGTTAAGGAGCTGGCTGCCGTGACAGAAGCGGCGGTGTTTATTCAGGGAGGTGATGGTGGCAAACATCTGGCTGCAGTTGTTGCACTTGAGCTGCGTGCGGCAGTCAGCGTGCATGCGCTTGTGACGGCAAAGGTTGGAAAACTGCGTGTAGGACTTCAGGCAGACCTCGCAGATGAAAGGCTTGATGCTGCTGTGGATGTGGGTGTGCTGCTTCAACCCGCTGGAGGTGGCAAAGGTCTTGCCACACTCTGGGCAAGCGTGGCTGCGGGCCCCGACGTGCTGCGTGCGGATGTGACGCTGCAGGTTGCTGGGGTCTGAGAAGGTCTTGTCGCAGTGCTCACAGGGGAACAGATGGTCGTCGTTGTGCTCGTTCTGGTGTCGCAAGAGGTTGGACTTCCAGTGGAAGCTCTTGGGGCACTTGTCGCAATGGAAGTCACGGTTGGCTCGGTATTCACCACGCTCCTCTATCTCTTCTTCTTCTTCTTCAGAATCGCTACCTGAAGACTGCTGGTACTTTCCTTGCATATCGGTAGCAGACTCGTCTCGATCAGATGTCAGATTGGTGGCTTGGACTGAAGAAGAGAACAATAAACGAGAACAGTTACCTTCAAGAACAAGATGAAATTTGATGTCAGTACCTGATCCAGCCTACCTCTGTGTATGTAGAGTAGTGGTTTACACTAGTACCGGTTTGGACAGATTGTTCATTTTAGTCCTACAGAACTTCAACAAGGAGAGAATGTGAAATGAAACAGGTGGTGACTTAGGGTTTACCTGGAAGTTTTACAAGGTTTTACAGGGTTTTATGGGGTACCTCGAGGTTCAACCTCGCATTACCGCTTGTCTAATTTAGCATTCGTCCCAAAGTTGGCAGTGCAATCTCTCATAGGCTCTTAAGCAAAAAAACTAAATTATTTATAATTGGAGAATGATTACCTTGGTGGGTGTGGAATTGTTGATTTAAACCAGTGAAGATGTTATTGGAGTTCCGACAGGCGTATTTCTGGTGTCGTCTCAAGGCGACCTTGGAGCGGAATACCTCCTCACAGTCGCTGCATGGGAACCTCTTCTCTTCTGGAGAAACAAAGAAACAGGAAAATTTGGTTACATATTGGTTGAAATCCTCAATTTTTCAGACTGACCGATGACAGCACTTCAGTGACCTTAGTGAGAAACTAATTTTCATTAGCTTCGTATGTATAAGTTGGTCAGATGTTGAGCAGGATATGGAGGTAAAGTTACCTCCATATCCTGCTCAACATCTGACCAACTTATACATACGAAGCTAATGAAAATTAGTTTCTCACTAAGGTCACTGAAGTGCTGTCATCGGTCAGTTTGCAGAAGTGTGTTGTCCAACTTATGAACCCTCACAACGTACTTGTATACAACCTACAATATACTTGACACCTCATATTACACCCAAGTATAGCACTTGGTTGATTGGTTGGAAGTTAACAATGAGGTTAGCTGTGTAAATATGCATCACTAATCCTCACCAGTTTCTGTGGATTTCAACTTACAAATTCTAGTTCATAAGTGGATTCCACTAAATGCAAATACTGCCCTCTCTTGGTGTAAGCATGATAAAAAAAAGGTATCAAAGCTGTGGTTATGGTTCCAGGCCAGTAAATAGGCTGCCATAGACCTCAGTGGTAATTACGCACACTTCCCAAAATTATTACAAATATTCACAACTCTCCAAGGTGTTCAAGACACGCATCAAATAAAAGCTTATTTCGTCATCTTTCATTTTCTGTTCAATTTTTTTTTTGGGGGGGGGGGGTTTTAATCTGATTTACTTTTGGGAGAAATTTCCAACCGAAGATGATCACCCCTAAAAATAGTGCTGAAGCTCATCGCCATTTTGAAAAACAATGCCTACGCTCCATTGCCACATAAAGCACTTTGAGTACCCAATTTCATTTACATTTCACAGAAAAACAAGCTCACAGTCTTGTGCATGGCTTCCACCCCTCTTTTTTTACAAACCCTCAAGTTCCTGGCCCACAAAATGCTCTAATACCAAAGAATTTGAGGGAATGCAAATCGTGATTTGGCCGGCGTAGGCAATTTTGGTCCTATTTACTGGTCTGGAACCTTATGGGAGAAATTTCTGCAACTGCCAAGATTGTTAGTGTACATTCAATAGCACAGCTACAGTTCACTCGGGTCATTCCATGGGAAGTGGTCAGACAGTGTTGGATTTCAGTATTTTCACTGGGACTGACCCTGACCTGCCAAAACCGAAAACGGACACCCGACGTACGCCTTCAAAAGTGAAGTGCCTGTCACCACGGAAACAGGCCAAATTATGCCATCTTCCTTTAACGACCTCCCCCAACTCAGTGGCTGTTAATGACTGATTGAATTTGGACTGTATATCACGCAATTCACAACCTGTTGTACCTGATACCTATCCCCTACCAACCCCCCTTTTCCCTGCCCCCAGGCCCGAATGCTGCGTGGGGCGTAACCCTTCACACAGGTACAGTCATGCACACCCATTTCCCTTCACAAGTGCACTCCGGTGAACACCAAACCTGAAGACGGCTATTTCTGAGAGGCATGCGGTTAATCCATTGGGAGATGCCGTCCATGCTTTAATGTGGATAGCTGCCCGATATTGGTCCGTTAGAATAAAAGACAAGAATATCACTATAACGATAATGATCAAAACTTTGAAGACCATTTGGTTCTAATGAACATCCATGCCCTGTGTGCACTTCACTGAATAATTGCTTTACTAAACATTTTTGCAGATCGCAATAATGGTCTGTATTCATATTACCAATGGACCAGTAGAAGAAACGTTGACAACCTTCTCACAGCTAATTATCATGGTAAAAAAGGATGTCAAATAACTGGACTGATTTCAAGACTAGGATGGACAAGGACAATCCTAGGTAATGACGTTTGTCACAATGTACTTGTATCTCTTTGAGTTGTACATGTAAGAAGATGAAAACTAAGCCTAAGATTTGTATGGTCCTCACATAAAACTCAGAGAGGCACCAGAGCACTGAAAAATCAAACGTCAACACACTGAGGCCTGAGATGAAAACAGGTCGTAACCTTGGGTTGGATTTCTCAAACAACATCCACGACTTCCTTAGACCACAGATGAATGTTAGATAACACGTAACACTTCTCTCTTGCCTTAAGAAAGTCCCCCCCCCCCTCTCTTATCAATCTTAACCAGGACCCCTGCTTTAAGATCTGCAAAATCTCAGCGAACGAGAAAGAGAGAAAAAACGGTGAGCATCTGACAGCTATAGGAGATGGACACAGACCAGTCATAACCTGCCAGTTTCCTGGACCCCCTGGACCAAATGTTACCCCCTTCGACAAGAAAAGAAGACAGGAGGAAAAATTGAAGAGGTTAAAGGGTCAATTTTACAAAGAGGAAACTCATAACTCTGTCCCACTTGACAGATGATGGATGGACGAAGGACCAAGCTCTGATTGTGTCCATCAAACCGTTTTTTTTTCTGGAAGGAGGAGAGGGGTTTGATTGGAGCCCAGAAAATTGGTAAAATTTATGGCTCCATTTCCTACGTCTTCTTGGCTTGTGAGGAATCTAACAATTAGCTGGAAGGTATCTGAAGTTCAAGCTCCCTAAGGTCATTCAATCTGGGTGATGAGTTCCCCTCCCAAGCAATGCCCAGCACTTGGGTCCGCAAATTTAATAAAAATAGGAATCTCTCCCTTAGAAAACAGACAATTCATCGTGGAAACAAAGCATTGTTCATTCGCTCAGCTGAAATCAACTTTTGCAGTACCTGTAAAACTGGCAGAGAAAAACTTTCTAATCTGACAGAGAAAAACTTTACTTAATGCTAACAACTTTTTGCCCTTTTAAGCAACTTCAATTCAGCACCTTAAATTAGGATTGGTGAAGTGCAGTAAGTAATTCAGTAAGCTAAATTTGAAAATAGCACGGTTCCTTGTCCAATATCGTCTTCCCAAATTAGCCACTAACATGTATCAGCCCTACATTATGGTCAAAATATCTGGGATCTTCAGTTGAACATTTTGAAACGAGTGGGATGGGTGGTATTTTCACAACGGGGTTAGCATAACGAAAGCTCCACTCGGCAAGCTGCTTCTCTTCCCGAGGTTTTATTAATCTTATGATTTCATCCCCTCCCACTTCCCGTCCGAGGATCCCCCATAGTTCACGATACTCATCACGGACGGTATTCGGTCAGTTACCTGGAAGCATCCCCTCCCCCATCTCTCCCTGTCTGTCTCACTCTATGTCTCACTCTATTCCCCAGGGGGACAGTCACCCACATGAGGCACACCGGTCTTTGATCATAAGGCGACAGACTGATGGGCTACCGACTAGTCTTGCCTGCAATTAATGCCAGGTTGGCTGGTTCAAGCACTACGCATCACTTTTGGGCTGCGCAGTATGCTGCCGTTATTGCAACATGGCACAAGTTCAAACTTGGAAGAGCAAAAACGGCCAAGTCACAAGGCCCTGTAGTTTATTAACCCATTCCTGTACCGCCCCAAACTGCCCTGCCTGTTGTTCCTGTTACTGCCCCAAACCACCCCAGCTCTGTCTGGTTGTATGAATAAATTTAGGAATAAGTAAAAATGTATACAATGTAATACGAGACCTATGAGAGACAAGATTCCTCATTTAGGGCTGCAAAATCTCTAAATGTTGATGTTAAAAACACAAACGGAGGTCAAATAAGTCCAGAATTCGCACACCCTCTGAACAAGATAGGAAAGGTTTCTGCTGCCCTCTGGGGGCTGGAATGAATAAGCCCACTTCTCAAAAATAAAAAATACCTAGAACTATTTCAGAACCAATCTGTCAGACACTACTCAATGACTTGTTGCTTATTCACCCCCCATGACAGGTTGCCAGTGTAATGCGATATGACACACTAATCCCTCATGTCGAACCCACTTTCCCCTTCACAGAGGAAATGCCCCCTTTACCACCGAGGAGAGAAGAAAAAAACACTCCCCTTTTTCCTACTCCAGAAAATAAAGTCATAATGATCAATAATTTTCAAGAGCACTTACAGGGCAGGGTTTGTTGGATGAAACACAGTAACCACACACATCATTTATCTCTCCAGACCTTGCAGTGCCCTGCCCAACATAATCCATTCCAAGACTTGTATCTCCTGCACGTACTTGGGATTTGAGTCAAGACTACTTTTCTTTCCTTTTTATGTTATGGACGGAAAGTCAGGAAACTAGCAAGAATTTTGTTGGCAAGAAAGGCCACAAGTGACCTTTAATCTCGTCCAAACTCTTGCAACCCAGGAAACGCTGTGGCTCCACAATCTCTATCTCAATCGCTCAATCATAAGGTACGTGCAAACTGCCTCCCGTTCCCCTAGTAATTGGGCTCGGTGCCCCTGCAATGTTCCTGATCCATAATTCTAGTTTACCCATTAAGTCATTAAGTGGCAATGACCTTCTTGAACTGTCAATTGTGTAACTCCTCCAAACACGTAGATCACAGACAGCAAATGAAAAGTAAATGTTACCTCAACACTCATAAACTCTATAAAGTCCAGGCCCTAAAGTTTTGTGGCTCATCGGAAATTGTAACTCTTAAGACGATAATACACTGTTGCTACAAACCCTTCCAATGTTTTATCTACTTTTCATTAGGCAGTCACTCAGAAAGCTGTGAGACCTGTAGTTTAGTCCCCACCCCAAAAACCCAGACCCCCAACTCCAAGCTCCTATATATTGGGAAAGAGTGCGACATACCCTTCCCCGGGCAATTTAGAGAGGGGGTTCTCTCTCCACAAAGGAAGGGTGGTTTGACCACACTGGCGTCACTCCACAAAATGCGGCAGGTCCCTGAGGGCTCGGTGCAGGAACACGCCCTTGCCTCAGTTGCCTGCTCCCCCCTGCCATGGATGATTTAGCAGAGGCCTAGGTGTTGCACTAATGTAGATTAAGAATGTTAACCCTGACGATGCGAAAAAAATCGAAGCGCCCCTCCAAGCTCAATGCAAAATGAGGTGAACGAAATCGTGCACTCACGCAAGGGGCCCACTTGGGTGAGGGGGGGGGGCACTTAGGGGATTGAGCCCCCTTCCTCCCTGAGAAGTAAGAAACAAAATGCGGGACAAAAAGAGTTCTTAAGCCCAAAAGACAAATTCTGGGTGTGCCACTGGATACATGTACATATGTACGTTTCTTCTTTCATCTTTCTTCTTTCCTGAATTGTTTGCATACTAGATGTGATACCAGCCTTTTTAGCTGCGGGATAGCAGCTCAAAAAATCATCGTGTCTCTCCGTTAGTCCGTTAGTTAGTAACAAACGTTGACATTGTCTATTGCTGCCACATATTATAACCGATTTCAACCAAACTTTGTCAAAAGTATCAGTAGCCCAGCCCCAACATGTCACATGACCAAACTGGGGTCAAGGGTCATCAAGGGATCTCAGAGGTCAAAAACCTGAAAAGCACTTCTTCCAGAAATTACATGGCACAATCACGTGACGCATGCATGAACACGAATTTGTTGCCCCGCAGCTTCCGAGATCAGATCAGGCTTGTTATGAACGGAATATATTTAGTATTTTTTGTGATTGTTCGTTTTAACCAATAGTTCTCACGTTCATTATTTCTGGAATGCATTATTTAAAATTGCATTAGTTTTTATTCTGATCTTAAAGTTTATTTATCACTTTTTATAACCTTGTTCTCAGATTTTTAAAATAATTTTCATGAAAAGGGAGGGGGAAGCCACAGAAGTGGGAGTCAGGTTGACGTAGCGGTACTTTCCTTGCCTTTCACTGCTGTGACCCGGGTTCGAATCCCGCCTGGGCCAATATGTGGATTGGGAGTTTCAGTCCCTACCTGATTCCGTGGATTTTCCCCAGAATATTCTTCTGGGCTTTTCCTCCCACCTCTAAAACTGTAATTTCTTCTCACTGTCTTTTCTCTAAGTTGGTGTTATGTTTCCCCTGGGATACTTTGCCGACTATTATGATACAGATACAGAAGTCCATTTCATCTGGTCAATGTGGCAGTGTATGACTACCAAATGAATACAATTATTTTCATTTTCCACAGTCACATATCAATCTAATCACAAACATCTGTGTATAAGGGGTTGTGTCACCCCTTTGATCACCCTGTCTGCTCACCTATGAGTTGTATGGGGATGCCTTCCTGGTCAGGGAACGCCGCTTCCTTCAGGACTAGGAGCTCTTTGCCTGGGGCGATGGGATGGATGACCTTGTAATAAACCTGCAGGAAATTCAAGAACAGCAACGATTCGGAATTGAGTCAGTCCGAAAAATAACAACGTGTGACTGTGAGCAACCTACATGTACCGGTACATGCAATAAAGATTCGGCACTGAGATAATTCGCGATTCACAATGCAGTGCGCCACCAATGGTTTGCCACGGAGAGTTCATTTTTCCCAGTGCATTGTGGGAGATGGTCGACAAATTCGCAGCGCGGGACATTTGAAATTGTTCGTTTTTCCGGTCAGTAGTTTCGTAAGCGTATGATTCGAGTATCTTTTTGCCCTTTTCTTATCTTTTTTATCAATGGTGGTTTCTGTAAGGCGGCAGAACACTATGCCCCAATCTATAACAAATTAGCTCAAGTTGTCTACTGACACTCGTTCAATGGGCCATGTTTTGTCGACCGTAAAGTTGAAAAATGGACTCTCCAAGGCAAACTCTTGGTGGCGCACTACATTTTGAATAGCCCGAATTGCATTGGGGTGCACACCTGGCAATGAACCTCTGGCCCCAACTCGGGGCTTCCAATTCTGAGCATTTTGGATACAATTGGGCTCGAAAGTGGTGCTATTTTGCCATGTTGTGGAGGGATCGTTTTTCAAGATGGCTACCGTTCCACTTTGGGGAAAATAGGGGTTGTCTTCTTTGGGCGAGAATTTCTCAAAAAGTCAATGGTCAACCCACCAAAAAATGAAAAGAAATTGACATGTCGATCATCATTTTTCTGTGCAGCTTAAATACCTGTGAGAGTTCTGAGTATTTTAAAAAGAATTTTGAAGCTAGTACTATTTAGGCCAAAAAAAAAAGTCTCCGGTTTCTGGTATGGAGCTTGTCCAAAAAGTGGTGCGGCCACGCGGCTTTTTTTTTTTTTTACCTGACTTTTTTGCTTCAAATGTCGGCTGGTGACTGCAAATGGTGCCCGACTAAACTTAGTGCAAATATATGGGAGTCCAGAGAGGCCACATAAAGCTTATTCTCAATCATAACCCCATCTAAAAACACATTGAAATTGCGCAGCAGCAGAATTCCAGTCAAACCAGTGAGTTTGGCGGTTTTGAGGCATCATCTTTCATTGAAAAAAAAACTTTTTCATTTTGCCGACGCCCATGGCTACGGCGACGCGCGCGCATACCAGAAACCGGAGACTTTTTTTTTTGGCCTTAGCACTAGTGGCTATGGGAATTTTTTTGCACTGTTGCACCCATAGCGATGACATCGGTAAAAAAAAAATAACAACTCCACCTCCGAACCTTTCAGAGTTAAGTAGCATATCTCTGCAGCCTCAAAACCAATCTATACCCTTCACCCTTGAAGCAATTGCTGCAGCATGAAGTACGCAAGACTTATTTTATTCTAAATATGCGCAAAGCCATAGCGTCTTTGCGTGAGCGTCAAGCAAAAACATCCACAGGGCACTGTCATCAACTTTTAACAAGAGCGGTCCTCAAAACGAAGGTACACCAGAAACTGCTAGTGACCAACACAATGTTTCTAATTAATGATCTGTAGCCTCAGTGTGTCGTTGGCTAACGTGCATAGATTCCATCAAAGACTTTGTAATTATTTTCATGTATTTGAGGCTTTATGCACTTTCCCCAATTTCCTCATAATCCAACCGTTGTTTGTCGATCCATTCCCCAATTCCACCTGTATCTACTGAGCTCCAGTGTCTTATAAAAGAAAAATATTGTAAAGTGCTTGTGCTTCATTTGTTCTTGATAAAAAAAATCTGCTACACGTCATATGCGGGGCTAATTCTCTAAGTGCGATTCACCTTATCACATCTGTCGACCATTTCGCGTTGGAGTTGTGAAAAGTAAATGTTCTCTGTTGGTCTTTCGTGGGACTTTGAAGAATTGACGCCTTTCTTGCCTCGGATTGCTCGGAAAGCCCCAGTGATTGTTGTCCGTTACGCACCCTTGTCACGTCATGTTGGCTTTCAGTTTGCCATCAGCTTCCCCCTTGATGATTGATGAGTCGTCATGTTTTTGATCAAGGGAACTCATTTCTCACACCTCAGGCCACGGGACATTCCTGCCTCACCCGCGCCTTTAAGAAGCTCCAGACGCAAGGCCTTCCAAAGACGCAGGTTTCAAACTGACACAGCAATTAGCAACGGCGGTATTACTAACCGGGCCTGGCACTCTCCAACACACAACCACTGCACCAGTAATTGCGACCGTGCGCTGCGCCAGGTGACGGACTCCGGCATTTTTTTTTCCCTCTCCACCGTGCCGAGTGCCGCGGCCACGACCGGCTGACACATCTGAAAACTATGACTAATTACCGGCGAGGTGTAAAGGAGAATTACCTGGTCTGTTACTAAGTGTGCGATCAACGCGCTTTGCGGTATTAATCTTCATGTTGGGGGATATCTGTCATGTGGCGGCACTCACCCGCCGTTACGGGTGATGAAAAATAACCTTCACATTTATTACCATTGCATTCTTGGCAGTGAATGTTAATATGGTCTCTGATTCCAATGAATTCTTCTACTAACATCATATATCACGCGCTACGTACTCAAAAAGAATCATCACGGACACATTTTCATAACTTCTAGATTACTTTCAACCTTTCGAGACAATTTCTTATCTGAACCGAACATCGTCACGTTTATGATTCACTCCAGGATTTGATGGGATTGCATTGGCCATTTTCCTGCTACTTGATGGTTATTAATTACGGAAGTAATTGACAGAGGCCAAAGTAGCTGTTGGTCAAGTGAACCGAGTTCTTCACATATTTGGGTACATTTCAATAAATCTCCTTACGTGTCTTTCTGCTGCCTATAAGCTGCTTAACCCTCCTGCTATTCAAACTGTCACAGACAGTCAAAATTCACTTCCTCTTTCCCTACTGGAAGGAAAGGCTTCCAGATGTTAACTGGTTAAGTAGATGGGGGAAAATATCATATGAATGTATTGTTGTCTTACCTTATTTTCTATATTCACTGGTACCATGTTCTGCTCCTCAAGTGTTGGAGCACTGCGTACATATTTCATCCAGTTCCCGGTACCCGGCTCACTGGCGTCAATCCAACATCTAACCTTGCCATCAGCATCCACAATCTGTAACATAAGTTTAAAAAGAAAAAAATCCAAATTACAAAAAAAATTACAGAAATCATTATTTCCCCTGCAAATTAAGAATCTACATTTGTATCAAATGAGATATTGCTTACTTTGTATTGAACAAAGTTTATTTTCAGATCAGAAATATCTGAGAGAAAACAGACAGATGGATATTTGACGAAAAACAAACAAAACAATTACGCATACACAGACAAATGATATGTCTGTTTGGATACAAAATATTGATATATTCCTTGAGCTTTTATTAAAAGTCTGTAATCGACTTCGGTCCCCAGCAAAAAGCAAATGCATAAATTACAAAACAAACCGATAAGACTCCATTATTTGCAATCGGTCGACAATCGTTCTGCCATTAGGTACAACCGTTTGCTTCTGTAAGCACGGCAAATTAATTACCAACTGATTAACCAAACATGACAGGTTCCAGGATGCCTTCAACTGATAGTGTAATTTGTTTACCGTTTCCCCGTGGGACAGCCTTCTTTTGTTTCGCTTCTCTTTTTTTTATCTTTGGTAAATAATTCTCCAGCAGGCAGCTGGGCATCAGCCTGCATGAGATGGATACTTTTTTTGGCTACTCCACATTTTTTTCCCGATATATAAGCAAAAAACAACCATGGAGAGAGATAAGTGTCGCTGTGAAAAGTCTGTGACGGGTGACATCGGGCCGCTCGGATAAAGAGCACCGCACGATTAGACCCGTAATTGCCCATTTGCCGAGCGAGATATCACTGACAATTACAACTGAAGTAGGTCGCGGGGGAAGATAAAAGGTGTGGGGAGAATGAGGGAGAGAAAAAAAAGCGTGTGCGTGGACGCTATCAGGAACATCTGCCGCGCCGTTTGCCCACGTCGTTTTTGTGATTGCATTACGGCTGTAATCCCTTATTTACTCTGACAGTGCAAACACTGCCCTCCGTATTAAACTCTTTTAAGAAACAGACACAGGTAGAGATTCCTTCCCCCTTCTCTCTCCCCTCTCCCCCCCCCCCCACCCCCCCCCCCCCAACATCCCTCTTCCTCCGTTCTTCCGGAAGGCGATGGAGGGTCGTCCAAACAAGCCGAGAGGTGGGATTCACCTAAGAAAACACTGGGAGGCGGCGACGGGAAACAGAGAAGAGGAGCAAGGAAGCAAGCTATTTGTAAGCCTCTGATGGCCAGCGGTATTCTCTCAAGTCACTCTCTGAATGCACAAGGTGCAAGAGGAGTTTCTATATTCAAACACTGGCTTCTGCCCTTCATCTATTAAAAAGGAAACAGCGTTTTGAAATCTAGCTGAATCTAACACAACCACTGGTTGGATTGGGGCAATTTTGGTAGATGAGTTTGAAGAAGTCCTCAGATCGAGATCACATGAAAAGAAGTGCAATGTCCGTGGCAGAGCCAATTAACCATGATATCTAATGAATGATTCAGAGAAATGATCCAAAACTCCTAGTCTGTAATCTCCTTGACCATTACTGGATGATGGATGTGTAAGATTTGAAAAATACATTTTCAGGTTTATTCACTGAGCTCTTAAGAGCTCTGTTACGGACATTACATAATGCTGCAATTGCCCAACATTAAAAATCGTCTCCGATCATCATGCATGTAAGATCTTCCCCAAACACCAAAAGAAATTACAACTGAATTGGCGCATGACCTTATGTTTATATTTCTGTGACATTTTCTTTGCTAAAAAAAAAGAAGTTATCAGTGAACGCAGACTCCTCATGCCGTCGTCTTCAAGAACCATCCCAGCCAGCGCTACATGACAGGTTGATTGATTTCTGCCTGGATTGATAGCGCAGGGCACAGAAATAAGACCCGAAGATTGTATTATCAATCATACCGCGAAGGAGAGAAATAGTGTGGCCTTTTTCTTTTTTCAGATACTTTGAAATTGATGCTAGCTACCGTTGGTATGCAATTAAGATTGTCTGGTTTCCCATGAAGATAGGAATACGCAAAATGAACTTGGCTACTTGAACAAAATAAAAATTATCTCCGCAAAGGAATTCTAACAGGTGGGTTGCGCATTCTAAAATTTGTTTCCTGATAGTTTGCCAGAGTATCATAATGAAATAGTCGTTTCTTTTTCATTTGCTGAGCTTGTGACAATTGCAAGTACACAAAGTTCATTACACGAAGATGAAGAGAACATGAAGATGTACAACATGACGATGGAAAAGAGCAAGTCAGTTTTGGGTGTAAGGTGACAGAATATGAAAGAGTTAGGCCTACTTAGTGGTGAACCTACTTTACCACTTCGCGCCGGGATTATTTTGACATTGACACGGACCCAGGCTCGGGATTGTTTTTTATAAACCTCGATGCCAGATGGGTTCAGGCTGTCATCTGCGGGTAGCACACCCTGATATTTCCGGCCTTGCTTGCGGCGAGCAGGTTGCAGACAGATATTTTCGGCTTCGTGCGTTGCGTGTTTATCCGTCAACTGTTCTGAATACTGCAAAACCTTTGTGACGTCATCTGACGTGAACTGGTTAAGTAGGCACTGGCAAACCCCAATCAATATGTGAAATCTGGTAGCGTTTGAACCACATTCAAAAGAAGTGAAAGACAGGGGGATTAAATGCCATTTTGTACAGCCACAATCATCGTTTTATTGACTTCCAGTTTTGTGGTTTTCCTCCTTAATTAAAAAAACAAAAAAACAATGGTATCACAGCTATACTATAAAGCAAAAAAGGTATGCCTGTGTGTGTTCATGAGTTGATCGCAAGGAAGTAAGGTGCTCCCTCGCGAGGCAGGTAGTGCGGTGAAGCCGCCTTCCCAGCGAAGCCGTGATACAAAGCCTTGTAGTTTACCACGTAGTTTATCAATGGTGGATTTTATGGAAAAGCAGTAATGTGGAGTCATGTCCAATTTGAATCTACATGTAAAACACCGAAACGACCCAGAAATTCATTTTTGCCTGAACAAAGTAAAAATTAATTTGACTGTTTCTTCGAAAAAACAATCTCATGATTTCATCTAAATATGACATGTTTACAGCTGGGTTTGGTTTCATGTAGCCAGGTTTTAATCACAATGGCTGAAGTGAATGACAGTTACATATGAATAGTTTGTACACAAAGGCCAATTCGGCTCCAATCTACATGCAAACCGTCAGTCACAATTTTTTTTGTAACAAAACTGAACAAACAATCTTATCTTGGTTAAAACAGTTGCAGTTAAACAAAAAGTCAATTTTTAGGAAACATCGCTGTTATCTATGTTTCAAAGCCTGGTTTATCAAGGATTTCAGGCAAATAATTAACAATTCCCCAATTAATCATAATAAAAAAAATATGTAATTTCTGAGTTTGAAAACATCCTTTTTATCATACCCAACCCTATTTTCCATACTTCTCTGTTTTTATTCTCATCTTTAATATAATATTGGATGCCCTGAAGATGGTTTTCATTCAGTCAAAGTTTTGAAGTTACCCAAGCCCTTTTTCTCAATATTTCTGAAGGCGACACCTACACATTTATTTCCCATTTGTATGTATTAGTGAACAGCGTAATTCAGTTATACAAACACCATGTGTTTAAATTGTTCTTTTATTTACCTATAAATTTACTTTCAAATACGTCCGCAGAGATGTACATAATGTACATGTAGCTTCATTGAAATGCAGTAACTGCAATATGAATGACATGACATTAGATTCAAAACATAACTTGACATTTCTCAATTGACATTTATTAAAAATGACACGTACAGGTACTTAGAAATTTCAATGTGAATTTCACTAGATAGAGACAAGGTTTTAAGCAAGGACTCCTTCCCAGGGATCCTAAAGACTCTCGATTTACCCTGGTCAGAAAATATTATCGAATAAGTGCCTGCATGTAATTGCCTGAAAAGTGGAGATTTCTAACAAACTCCGGATTCTGACCAGGCGCCGTCTATCCGATCTTCGATATCCCGTTGTTGTATTAATTAACAAACACATGGGAGCAAATTGACCAATCAACAGATTAGTTTCATAAGTTTCTAACATCATAAGTTTCTAAAGTCGACTCCGATTGGCTGGCGCGGGTCGCATACAATTTGCATTGCACACATACATCAGATGTTGGTTGCTGAGCTTGTGCTCGGACTCTGTTGAACATCAGATGATACTCCGACTAATTTTCCAGTTGGTTTTTGAATAAATTTAGGAAGCCAACAAGGTACATTGTACATGTATAAGAAGTCTTGTTATATTTTGGCTAGATTTGCATGCATATCAGTGCTCATAACATTAAAGACACCATGGGAGTGTTTTGTCGGGACCCCTGATACTGGTTATTCCAAGCGTCACAAAAAGAATTTGCCATTTTAACAGCTGAGGCTAGTCAGTTTTATAGAATCATTATTCACTACGCAGAGAAGCATAAACAGCACTATTAAGATGCGCAAGGTGTTTCACGCCGGGCGGCCTTGGCGCAACGGGCGATCAACCATTGACTATCAAAAGCTCCACTAAATGTCTAATCCCCGATTGTTAAACATTGGTGTTTTGGCAGAGGGGTTTAGAGGAAATTTCTTTGGAAAGATCTTGTTAAAGGAATCCTTCCATAAACGCCAAAGGAAAATGCAACTGTTGATTAAGAACTTACCGATATCAAGGGCAATGGTGCAGTGCTTTTTCAAATGATTTAGTATTCGGTTATTCAAACTTGGATTCGATCGAATATTCGAATATTCGCAATGCACCGATCAAATTATACAGCTATGCGCAGGACTAAATTCCTGAAATGAGCTAAGTCTCAAAAGATTGAGATGAAGGAACAATGAAATCACTTTACTTGGTAATAGTTGTAACAAATTTAACACATTTTTGTCTAAGCCTTGGGAATTTTAAGATGTAAACATGTGGAAGTGTCGACTGTAACGGACAGAACAAATGGCTCACAACTCGGGAAAGTATTCCGGTATCGCATGCCGCGGAACCTCTTCAGAATGTTGCTTAATACTTGACGAATTATTCCGAAATGT